CATACATACATACATACATACATACATACATACATACATACATACATGTGTGTGTGTCCACCCCTGGACAAAGGGTTTCGTCCAACTGATCCACCGTTCACCTTTTCCACCTGTGATTCACATGCAGGGGCGTCCAACTGATCCACCGATCACCTTTTCCACCCGGCAGTCACATGCAGGGGAACTGGGCACTCTGTGGCTGACCCAGGTCAACGAAGCTAGGTCACAGAGTGGGATATTCGGACTGATCATCCGAACGTACCTGCGAAGTTCCTCACACGCTGTCACCCCACTTCTCCACGGTTTGTTTCATGGTTCTTCATGATACCTCCCACAAACCCACCGCCACCTTGCGCCGCTTTGCAGCCAACTTTGCGTGTCAGATCGTTTTTGAGTGCAGCTGCCAACATTGTTCAACAATACGGTTTTTGCGGACTCATGCACCATGCCGTTCCTTCACCTTCCTTCTCAACGTGGGAACTGAGTTCACTGAATACAAGTGTCAGAGTGTGTTTCGCTCAGCCGTCCCACTCGGGTGCTGAGTGTGATCCCCGTCACAGGGGCGCTGTTTTTTGCATCGGAATTCAACCACCCCAACGTACCACTTTTCACTGGACCTTCACCGGAAGTCACGGCCACCCCCATAGAATCAACTGATGCATTGGCCGCCGGGCCCAAAAAAGGCATCACTTCGACAGCCGCCGGGCTATAAAACGGTGCTTACCCCCAATGAGGCAGGTTCCCCAACCCCCCCCCCCGCTGTGTTCTACTCCCTACCTATTTAGGGCAACATAGGGAAATGGTACTCGACACACTTGTGTGTCGGTGCCTTTCCCTGTGTTGTTCCTGTTCTAGTCTATCCTACCCGGGCGGTCTAAGACTAAAGTCCCGCTCCCTAACTAGTGCACCTAATTCACCTCGTCTAAGTATTCAGTAAATCTGAGTGCTAGGTATTCAAACACACACACACACGTACACACACATGGACATACACCCCCTCCCTGCCCCCCACTTTCCTTCTTGCGTTTTTCGTCGTTTGTTGGGCTTTCTTTCAGGCTTTTTAGGTTGTTCTTGAGGTTCGTTCCCCTACCCCAGTCAAGGGCTAAGTATTCACCTTTTCATTTTTCTACACCTATCTTTCTTTCTTCCCCTCTTAGCGCTGCTCTTTCTGTCTTTCTTTCCTTTTGTTTCTAAGGCTTTTTAGGTGACTATTCAGGTTTTCACATGCGCGCCGCGAAGCGGCGCCGTATGTGTGCCACCGTTCTTTGAAAAAAGCGCCGAAGCCGGCGATTTGTGTGTGTCCACCCCTGGACAAAGGGTTTCGTCCAACTGATCCACGGATCACCTTTTCCACCTGTGATTCACATGCAGGGGCGTCCAACTGATCCACCGATCACCTTTTCCACCCGTGAGTCACATGCAGGGGAACTGGGCACTCTGTGACTGACCCAGTTCAACGAAGCTAGGTCACAGAGTGGGATATTCGGACTGATCATCCGAACGTACCTGCGAAGTTCCTCACACGCTGTCACCCCACTTCTCCACGGTTTGTTTCATGGTTCTTCATGATACCTCCCACAAACCCACCGCCACCTTGCGCCGCTTTGCAGCCAACTTTGCGTGTCAGATCGTTTTTGAGTGCAGCTGCCAACATTGTTCAACAATACGGTTTTTGCGGACTCATGCACCTTGCCGTTCCTTCACCTTCCTTCTCAACGTGGGAACTGAGTTCACTGAATACAAGTGTCAGAGTGTGTGGGCGTGTGTGGCGCGGCGTGCCAGTTCACAAGGCTGGTGCAGGCCAAAGTGGAGCTACATTGTGTAGCTGTGTGAAGATTTTAGTCAAACAGGGCACCAGCACCGTGTGTGCGGGTCACAAGCCCAACATCGCAACACTGTTAAAAACGAAATCAGACTGACATTTAATGACAGTCAGGTTCAAGACAATTCCGGGCTACCACGTGTCGTCAGCACACCCTCAAGCACCTACGTATAGTAAAATAGTTTGCAAACTTGAGCAGAAGCGGGCACATGTGCAACACAACGCATCGCAGACAGTGCCTTTGGCTTCCCGACAGTGGGGGTGGTGTGGAGGTGTGTGGGGGTGGGCGGGGTCTTTGTTTTTTTGAAATGTCAATTTGGTCTGTCAAGAAACTGTTTATACTGCTTGTATCTTGCGAAAAATGGAGAAATCGGAAAAGACGCAGGAAAATAAAACTGTAATTAAGTTGTTTTGTTCTTTGATTTGGCGAGGAGCAGCCCAACGGAAGCAAAGACATGGAAGAGATTACGCGACTGGCCGAGACTGGGGGTTGAGCGTTGTATTCTGCATTTTTTCTGCTGTTGTTGTTGTTGTTTGCTTGCAACACTTTGACGAGTCTTTTTAGCAACCTGAGGCAATTGCAAGCACAGCTGGCAGCTAGTCGTGCTCGTGTGGCGGAACTGGAAGCGCAGGCTGCCCAACCAACTGGCTCATCATGATCGTGTTTTCTGCAACATTTAGTTAGTTTGTGGGCCTTTGGCCTGGCTCAAGTATTGAAAAATTCCGGAACAAAGATGCTCTATTGATCATGATTTTGCCAAAACCAGCAGAGACATGTTTCGCTTTTTCCCAACGGAATCCAATTGTTTTTCTGAGAAATCATGACAATGAAACATGTCATGGGCCAGTTTGTTGCCTAACCTTTCAGGAGCGTGCGCCCGCAGGGAGCAAAGAGTCGGAGATTGTGACACTTGGCACCGATAATGCTCGCACAACATGCTTGAACTCCATTTCAAGGGTGTCTAGATGTCTCTAGATTCAAATGAGCCCAAATGATATATTAGCTCATGGTGGGCAGTTCATGCCAAATTCCAGACACCCCCATTTTCTCAGATTTCATTGGGAATCGTTCTAGTGAATGCGCTTGAAACTTGCACCAGTCTGTTTTGCCGGTTTGAGCCGTGCAGTATTAGATGATCTTGAGGTTTTGGGTGAAGGGTTCCTTCACAGGTAGAATTACTATATTTGGTTGAAGATGGATGAAGATTGTGGAAGCATGTGGAAGCTGAGGCAGTTGCAGGCTCAGCTGTCAGCCGCTGTCGCTCGCGTGGCAGAGTTGGAAGCTGAAGATGAACCTTTGGCCCCAGAGGACAGCTTTCTATATTAAATATATACTCGAAGAATCTCGAAGATATGTGAAGATGCGATGATCTGGGATGGCGATTCATTGTTGTTCCTCTTTCTGGCTCCTGTCAGTTCGCGTCCGATGATAACATGTAGTTTTGACCGCGGATGTGCCTCAAGAGAACCCCGTAACCAGACCTACACTCCTCAATGGATGATCTTTAGGGATGACTAGTTTAGCGGACTTTAGCGGCGTTGGCTTCAAGCCAGTGTGTAATGAATGCTGGTGCTTTTAGGTTTAAATTACTGTACTCTAAGCCTGTAAGCTACACACCTAGTGCTATCCAATGTCACTCTGTGGTCAGTCACGCGCATGGAATGCGGCGGAAGACTGTCCATGCCCCAGCTAAAGATTTTGCTACATGCTGGAGATGCAATGGGTGCGGTGTTTGGAAATTTCGCACGTGGGAGGCACCTGTAGAGAAAGAGAGAGAAGAGAGAGAGAGAGAGAGAGAGAGCGGGCTCGTGTAATGTCGTGTAAGGGTAAACTTTTCAGCATATATGACGATGCATATGTATATATATATATACATGAGCAACCATCAAAACGTGCAATTACTAATTTAGTAAAGAGCGGTCGTGAATTTCAGGAATTGGGCTAAAACCTGCAAAAGCGATAGGCCCCCCTCAAGAGCGATATATAACCATATTTCCACAGTTTTTTGGATGTGTTCAGCTATATATATTATATAACATGGTGGCTAAAACCTGCAAAAGCAATAGGCCCCCTCAAAGCGATAACCTTGCTGAATCATGTCCTTTGCTTGACAGTACGTTTCGGCAGACGCTGATATGCTGTATATATATATATATTTAAAATAATGTGCTTATGTATGGCATGGCATGTCAGTTCACAAGGCTGGTGCAGGCCATGGTGGAGCTACATTGTGTAGCTGTGTGAAGATTTTAGTCAAACAGGGCACCAGCACCGTGTGTGCGGGTCACAAGCCCAACATCGCAACACTGTTAAAACGAGATCAGACTCATTTAATCACAGTCAGATTCGAGACAATTCCGGGCTAACACGTGTCGTCAGCACACCCTCAAGCACCTACGTATATTAAAATAGTTTGCAAACCTGAGCAGAAGCGGGCACATGTGCAACACAACGCATCGCAGACTGTGCCTTTGGCTTCCTGTTAGTGGGGGTGGTGTGGAGGTGTGTGGGGGTGGGCGGGGTCTTTGTTTTTTTTGGTTTGTCAAGAAAACTGCTTATACTGCTTGTATCTTGAGGAAAATGGAAAAATCGGAAAAGACGCAGGAAAAACCAGCTGTAATTAAGTTGTTTTGTTCTTTGATTTGGCGAGGAGCAACCCAACGGAAGCAAAGACATGGAAGAGATTACGCGACTGGCCGAGACTGGGGATTGAGCGTTGTATTCTGCATTTTTTCTGCTGTTGTTGTTGCTGTTGCTGTTGTTGCTGTTGCTGCTGCTGCTGCTGCTGTTGCTGTTGCTGTTGGTGTTGTTGTCGTTTGCTTGCAACGCTTTGACGAGTCTATTTAGCAACCTGAGGCAATTGCAAGCACAGCTGGCAGCTAGTCGTGCTCGTGTGGCGGAACTGGAAGCGCAGGCTGCCCAACCAACTGGTCCCAAAAATTTGCAGCCCAGTAGAGTCCAGTTGTAGAGAAATGTGGTTGCCGAGATCATGATCGTGCTTTCTGCAACATTTAGTTAGTTTGTAGGCCTTTGGCCTGGCTCAAGTATTGAAAAATTCCGGAACAAAGATGCTCTATTGATCATTATTTTGCCAAAACCAGCGGAGACATGTTTCGCCTTTTTCCCAACGGAATCCAATTGTTTTTCGGAGAAATCATGACAATGAAGCATGCCATGGTCCAGTTTGTTGCCTAACCTTTCAGGAGCGTGCGCCCACAGAGAGCAAAGAGTCGGAGATTGTGACACTTGGCACCGATAATGCTCGCACAACATGCTTGAACTCCATTTCAAGGGTGTCTAGATGTGAGCCCAAATGAATGGCCAAATTCCAGACACCCCCATTTTCTCAGATTTCATTGGGAATCGTTCTAGTGAATGCGCTTGAAACTTGCACCAGTCATCACCAGTCTGTTTTGCCGGTTTGAGCCGTGCAGTATTAGATGATCTTGAGGTTTTGGGTGAAGGGTTCCTTCATAGGTAGAATTACTATATTTGGTTGAAGATGGATGAAGATTGTGGAAGCATGTGGAAGCTGAGGCAGTTGCAGGCTCAACTGTCAGCTGCTGTCGCTCGCGTGGCTGAGTTGGAAGCTGAAGATGAACCTTTGGCCCCAGAGGACAGCTTTCTATATTAGATATATACTCGAAGAAACTCGAAGATATGTGATGATGCGATGATCTGGGATGGCAATTATTCATTGTTGTTCCTCTTTCTGGTTCCCCCTTGTTTGTATATAGGCTAGTGAATTTGGGATAGCTAAAAATGCTTTGTTCATTGTCATTGATCGTCTAAAACCAGCAGAAGCATGTTGGAACTCATGTCAGCCCAGAAGGCTTGCAATGTGCAATGCCACCTCTGGCATCTACCAATAATGAGTTGCCACCTGAATTCAATTGAGTTTTGGAGACAAGATTACCGAATGTGAGCATGTAATGGTGACGTGTTTTGTTACCACATGCTTGTCAAGCGTGTTGTGCTGCAAAGGAGCACCTTGCAGCACCAGATGGAAGCTGGGAAGAGGAGAAAAAGGACTTGGAGCAGCAGCTGGAAGCTCGACGAGGCCCTCAAGCGTAGGAAAGCAGATTTCTTTACCTGGCAAGTGTTGACCAGAAATGTCCGTGTCGCGTTTTACTTACAGAAGCTGCACCATTGGCCGCACTTGTCGAACACTTGTCTTTGAGTCGTGGGAAACAGTTTCAGGTCACATTGATCAATTGGAGACTGAAGTGGAGCAGTTAAAGCTGCAGACGAAGGTGCATGTTGTCCTGTTGTGCTTAAGAACAGGCTCTGATGAATTCTTTGCCATGACATGTTTTGCGAAAGGAGGAGAAGAAGGACCTGGAGCAGCAGCTAGAATCTCGACGAGGCCTCCAAAATCCTACAAAATCTATCAGAAAAACAGTTTGCTGGGCAAACGCTGGCCCAAGTTGAAAGGGTCCGCAAGGCAGGTCCTGGGAGTCTAGCCTAAGAAATTGCGTGATTTGGTTGCCGTATAGAAATGCAAAACAGGAATGAAAAAGGAATTCCTTTATTCCTTTGCTTGAGTTGCTTTTGGGGAGGGAGCAATAGGAACCAAAATGAAACCAGTGGTGAATTAAATCAACTTGAGGATGCTGTTGGATTACAAGATTTGGGATATTTGTGAACAATATGTTGCTTCGATTTGATTGTATAAGTGAATGTAAGTGATACTTTCAACTCATTCTAAGCAATTCTTAAATTACACGCGGCATCGAGAGACCCTCCCAGGGCCTCGGGACTTTCCAAAAGCACCACCACCACCACCGCCACCAACTCTAACTCCACAGCTGCCGCCCCCACACTGTTTGGGGTCTGTTGCCGGGATTTATGGACTGTAGATATTTGTAGATGGATTTAGTTTGTACTCCATTCCTTTTGACAAATCAGGATCCAGGATCAACACCACATGACATTGCTTCAAGTTTCTTTCGCATGATTGGCATTTGTTTACTAGAAATGCCGCATCGCGTTGTGGTCTTTTTAGGAAGCAGGTGCATTTGACTGCGCATTGGCCGCACTTGGCAAATCTAGAAGCCGTTTCAGGTCGCATTGATCAATTGGAGACTGAAGTGGAGCATTTAGAGCTGCAGATGAAGGTGCACCTGTCCTGTTGTGCTTAACAACAGGTGATGATGAGTTCTCTGCTGTGACATGCTTGCCGAAGCTAGCAGCTAGGGTGCTTGAAGGATTTGCTGACATTGAAGGATGTCAAAGGCCAGTTTGTTGCCCAACCTTTTCAGGAGCATAAGGCCTCAGAGAGCAAAGAGTCCGAGGAGATTGTGCCACTTGGTGGGCACCCTTTAGTACTAAGTGCTCATGCAATGCACTTGAATTCCCTGTGAAGGGCCTCCTCCAGATCCAAATAAACCCCAAGTGGATCAGCGTGGGAATGATTTGGGCAAAGCGTTCTTCTATAAGTCGAACGGTGGAAGATGCTGGAGCATGTGGAAGCTGAGGCAGTTGCAGGCGCAGCTGTCAGCTGCTCACACTCGCGTGGCCGAGTTGGAAGCACAAGCTGCACAAGACCAATCATTGGTTGTGGAGGCCATCTTTTGCTATTTTATGCGAGAATTGGGCCTGTTTTGCTTACTGCTTGGTTCCTCGAATGTAGTTCGGAGTTCGTGTAGTTCCAAAGCATTGGATGGGCACCAGCTTTAAGCCGATGGTTTGCTCCTTGACCTGACCAGGAGCAGCCCAGCGGGAGCAAAGAGTTGGAGGAGATCCTGCCACTTGCCTCACGTGCCAGATTAGCTGTTGAGCGTCGATCTATATATATATATATA